TTCTATCAAATGAAATACCTGCTTTCTGTCATTTACCAGACAGCTGAACCTCCCAAGAAGCAACTCTGGAGCTTCTAGCATAAACTGTTGTTGTAGGAGATGCAAGTTTTTTTTTCTGAAGCAGCTTTTCATCCAGATCCAATAAATCCCATCTTATCCTCTCCCTCAGTCTGTTTGTCTGCATGCTGTCTTTGCAGCTCTGCTCATATGCTTTACGATGAAAGAGGAATCTGTAAGTTCTCCGATGATCCTCGGACTATTTATAGCCTCTGAGCTGATGTACGCTGCGATCCGAACTTGTCCCAGCCTGCAGTTTTAACTCATCTGCCTTTTTATGGCCTGGTGCCACTTTTATTTGACCTACATACATTTATAACAGAGCTTTGATCGTTCCTTAACCGGGAATTTCCTTCAGCGTACACAACCCTGCAGGTTCCCAGAGGTTCAAACTGGTATTTTCTTTATGGGACAGCAGGACATTGTTTACTGGTGCTGTAAAATCCCAATGATGGTGGGGGAGGAGTTTTCAGGCTCAGCTTAGTATCATCTGATCAGTGGTTTATGAAATGAATGAATTTAGAAACCAGGGAGTAGAATCTACAGCTTTGTTCCTTTATTTAACCCTTAATTTGAGCATGTAAATAAGATTATAAGCCAATAGAATTAGATTTTTTATTCCTACATTAAGAAAATTGGATAATATGCACTTGAAATAAGACAATGCAATTCTAAATTTAAAATTTAAATTGTCTACTTCCATTGGCATTGGTTGAGATTTTATCTGTGATCAACATAAATAATAATTTGATTTGTTTTGGTCGTACTGATCAGCACGTTGCTCAGAGGCAATCTTAATAATAAACACCAGCAAACTACAAATAATTAACTTCGACTCCTCCTGGCTTTTGTGAAAATAAAATATTCAATTATCTGTTGTTTTTTTTCCCCATTAACCTGAAGCAAACATTATAATCTGAAATGGCATCAGACTTCTGGAGGAACCTGTTTCCAAGCAACCAGCTCAAAGTAAATGATACAGAATGAATCAGATAAAGTGGAAATCTTCCTCGGTTCCTGCAGAGGAGGAAACTGGATCACCAACGTTCTAAAGAACATCTGGAAATGATCAGAACAAAATCAGAATCTCTTTTTTTATCTGATCATGAAGCTCTTTGTAACTAAGCTAAAATAGCTGCACTTTTATTTTTCTTTATAAATAAAGAGACCATAAATCACCTTCCATGGTTTACAACTTCTATAAAAGTGCCAATCTCTCCATCAGATAGATGAATAAAACTCATAGGGCACAGGAGGTGAGAATTAAGGTACTTACAGCTGTCTGTTTTTCCCATTAAAATACTTGATAACAGTAAAGTTGGAAGTCCTGCTTAGAATTAAATGTTTATTCAAGAAGAAATGGTCAAAACCCTACACTTAAAGCTAAAAGTGCTGCAGAAACGTCTAAAAGCAGACTGACGGGGTTCACGCCTCTCATTTTCAGGTCCGTCGCTCAGACACAGTGTCTCTGCAGAGCTTACAGTCAGTCAGGGATGGGCGCACCAAGCTGCAGCGAGGGGGAACTTCAGGAACTTCCTGGGTTTGTAATTCAATCCAGGTGATTTACAGCCGCAGGTCGTAGGTTTAATTCTCCTCTAAAACCCTTTCTGTCCTCAGGCTGGAGGCAGGTCTGTTGACTCTGTGCAGAAAGGAATGAAAGCTTAATTACTATCTGACATGTTTAATGATCGAACTGACTGTAAAGGTTGTGAAATGTTTCTGCGTCCAGATATCAGAACTTTGGAGAATCTGGTCTGTTTTTAAAGGAATAGTACACCCAAAACATGATTAGCCTTCATTTTCTACTCACCCCCATGCTGAACAACACTCTGGAGTACTTTTTTGAT